CGTCATTCATCTATGAACAGTAAGGGTGATGGGGATCCATGGAGGGATTTGAATGCTCTGAAAGGGGTCGGAAAACTCGAGGATTAGATCACTTTCCATCAGTTGGGCTGTTTTCGTTTCCAAGGCTTGCTGGCAATGTCGGGAGCAGAAGCCGGAGGTGTTTCCAAGCATCCTGCTACACAGGACAGATCTCGCAAGGACTTACCCAGCCCCACAGTCAGTAGTCTTCTACTGAGAATCCTGGGTGATGGATAACTCAACTCTGGGATATGTTAACTCACAACTCACTTTGACTGAAAGCTAAGTAGTTAGGAGAAAATGATAAGACATTTTAGTACCAGATAAGAAGTCTTTCAGATGATAAGGAACTTCACAAGACTTTTGTTATTGCTTTTAGTATACTGGTGTTTTTTTTTAATTAAAAAGTTTAAATTAGCCCTTTCTTGTTCAGCAATTGAGGTGGCCATCACAGATGCCAGGTCTCTTGTTTTCTTTGAAGACACTTCTACTGCAAAGATGATCAACGTACCTAAAACCCGAAGGACTTTCTGTAAGAAATGTGGCAAGCATCTGCCTTACAAAGTGACCCAGTATAAGAAGGGCAAGTATTCCCTGTATACCCAAGGGTACTGGTGCTATTATCACAAGCAGAGTGGCTACAATGGGCAAACAAAGCCAATTTTCCAAAAGAAGGCCTAAACCACAAAGACTGTGTTCAGGCTTGAGTGCCCATCTGCAGATCTGAGAGGATGCTGGCCATTAAGAGGTGCGAGCATTGTGAACTGGGAGGCGACAAGAGGAGAAAGGGCAAGCGATCCAGCTCTAAACTTGTCTTGTCTGAAAGGAAAATACCGAAGCAGTAGAAAATGACCTGTTCGAAAATGAAGTTATCGTTAGTGATACAAAAAGTTTAAAATAGCATACAAGATACTAAGTATTACTATCAATTTTCAAATGATGTGTTTTAGTAATTCTTACCCCAATCCATTCCCTCCACCTCTCTGCTATCCCTAACTTCCCTTGTGAGATGGTCCCAGTCTCTTCCACTTTTTGTGTTCCTATGCCCTTCTGCTTACCTGTCATCCTTCAATGGTACCTACTTGTTCCCTCTCTTGGTCTCCTTTTGAGTTTTTTAGACTCTGCACACACTTACATGTGTATATAAGTACATATGTACAGACTAGGATCTGCATGTGACGAAGCACTAGGCTTTTGTCTTTCTGAGTTCGGGTCATTTCAAACTGAGAACTTCCACTGGGTGTCTGTACTACATTTCCATCATTCATTTCTGTGTTCCATTTCCTCACTATTATGAGTACAGCGGCTGTAAACATGGTTGTGCAAGTGTCTCTGTGGTGTGGGATAGAGTTTGGGGGGTGCATATGCTCTGGTATAGTATAGCTGGGTCAGATGACAGTTCTATTTTAAATCTTTTGAGGAAATGCCCTACTAATTTTCACAATGCTTGTACAAGTTTGCACTCCCACTAACACTGAACAAGTGTTCCTCTTTCTCCACACCCTTGCTGACAATTGTCAGATTGCTGGCTAAGATGATGAGGTGTTGCAAAGCAGTTTTAATTTGCACTTCCCTGATGACTAGGGATATTGACCATTTTAAAAAAATACTTATTGGCCATTTATATTTCTTCATTTGAAAACTTCCCATCTCTGGGTCCATTTGCTGATTAACACTAGGTTTTCTTTTCACTTATTTCTACAGTCCTTTATAAACTCTGAGTATTAGCGCCATGTCTACTTTAGAGCTGGTGAGGATTTTCTCCCACTTTATGGTTTGCTTGTTTGCTCTGCTGACAGCTTCTTTTGCAGATATTGTCAGTGACTATTCTTGATATCAGTATTTTAGGAAGGAAGCAAAATCGACAGATGGGACCCTTACATTTGCATTGAAAGGTTCTTGCTTTTCTTGTTGCTCTAAATTGAAACTGGCTTCATGTTTTTAAGAAGTTGTAATATTTTCATTTAAGTTAAATCCATACAGTTGTCTGCGTAATTTATGTGCACTGCCTGTGCTGTTGAGGGTGACTGTATCACTTTAAATACTCCAGTCTCTGACATGATTACAGACTTTGCATCAGATCTATTACAAGATGTTGTCTGGATTCTCAAATCAATGGGTAGAGAAGGACTACTTTTCACATCCTTTTAACTGAAGCAGTTCTGCTAGCCTACAGTGTGGAGGAGCACACGGACGTGGTGTGAACACAGAGATGTGCCCTCATCATGGCCTTATCTGAACAGCACACATACAGAAGCACACAGTTGTAGTTGTCAGAGCCCTCTTCTCCATCACTGTAGGAGTCTGCCTGTCCTCCTAAGAGTGCCATATCTGATGATTGGTGGGGAGTGTGGGCTCTTCCTTTGGATCCAGATATGGATTCCTTATCTTATATCTCAGTTTGACCTCTCTCTTTGCCAGTTCTGTGTTCTTTCCTTCCCTTCTCCAGGTGTTGACCTCTGTTTTATAACATGAATGCAAGAGTCTAAGAATGTCATTGCCTGAGGGTTGATTATTTAGTTCCCTGTATCATTTGTCCAGAATTTGACAAATAACTAAAGAGCCCAACACAAAATAAAAATGCTTTTTGTTTAAAAAAGGGGAGGGGCGGGGGAAAAACATTGCCATACCATAATGGGAAATTATTTTTCTTTCTTTCTTGATGAGTCTATCTCAAGTTTTTATGGTGCTCCTTTGGCATTTAGTGCTATTTAATCAAGAAAAATAAGACTGTGAAATTACTATTATGAGCTTACTGATAATCTATGCTGTACAATGCCAATTGTAAATGCAAATCAGAGTGTTTACTTGTATGTAGAATCACTGACACTGTGTAGCTCATGTTTTATAGCTTGTACACCCATGGGAATTTGATTTCATCAAAACAGTGGAAATCCTGGAAATGGCTAACACTGATATTTTCATTTGAGTTTCTAATATCTTGCATATGATTCTTATTCTCTCTTGTTTCTCCTCTCTTCTCCTGTCTGTCTGTCTATCCATTTGTCTATTTATATCTTTATGTGCATGTGTGTTCTATATACAAATGTACACATGTGTGTGCATTGTGTGTATGTGTGTGTGTTTGTGTGTGTGTTCTACTCACACTTTCAAAGGACCCTAGGATCTTCCTGGCTTTGTCTCCCTAGCACTGGTGTTCCAGGCAGACTTAACACTGCCACACTCAGTTTTTCCATGAGTTCTGGGGATTTGAACTCAGGTCCTCGTGTTTGATCATTAAGCATACAACCCATGGAGCCATCTTCCGCTTCCTGAAAAGGAACAGTAGTTAGGAGTAACCTTGTCCTCTTCCTCTGTGCCATCATTCTCACCATAGGTGACTGGGATTGTGAGCTTTAGGGTACCTTTGCCTCTTTCTGTTTTGGAACATGTTTTGGTGAAAAAAGAAAGCATGGCCTCTCTTGGGCAGTTAGGCCTTTCCTACGGCTCCCATGTACTCACTATCATGGGTGTAATGCATTCATGTGCTACTTTTGAGTCCTACTAAGCTACCTTGGACTATAGGTCAACCAGAATTCTGTGCACATGAGGTATCTAACACTCCATGTAAATGTGACAGCAAAGAGAACAGGCACACACAGGACATGTGTATCCTTTGTTGGCATGAAGCGTCTGTTGCACCACTGAACTTCAGTTATAAATCTAACTGCAAAGACAGGGTTATTAAGAATTTATTCACTGACATCTGGACATTAATCAAGGTTCATGCTTTAGAATGGCAAACTCTATGAGAGTATTTAAAGTCCACTCTCTTAAAATCGGTCCTGTGCAACACAGCTGCCCTGATCCCACCAACTTCTCTTCCTTCCCCAATTTCTCCATCATCCATCTTCCTATCTGAAAGCAACTGCAGAGGAGTTGGAGGAATAAACCCCAGTTGTCTATGGGTTGCTGCATCTGAAAGAGTTGGGATTTGGACAAATCCAAATAGATATAATCTCTTATCGACAAGCAACAAAAGCAGTATTCTTTTTGTTGTTGCTGGATATTTTATTTATTTACATTTCAAAGGTTTCCCCTCCAGAAATCCCCATCCCATCCTTCCTCCCCCTGCTTCTATGAGGGTGTTCCCCCACCCACCTACCCATTCCTGTCTCTCCACCCTGGCATTCCACTATACTGGGTTATCGAGCCTTCAAAGGACCAAGGCGTCTTTCCTCCCATTGATGTTGAACAAGGCCATCCTCTAAAAGCAGTATTCTTTATTTTCTGTCATACCTCTCTAAAGGTACGAGATCATTAAATGACTCTTTATAGGGCACTGTTCAAATTCTGCTGTGCTAAACTATTGCCTCACATACTCTCTAGGTAATTATTTTCAACTTAACATTACCATTTGTCTTTTTTCTCTGAACATATACTCATGTGAAAGAACTATTTCTTCTGTAAGTTGCCTTGGTCAAGTCTTTTAATGATTAACAGGTCAGTTACAATGTTTGGCTATTATAAATTGTTCTCTAGAATATATTCATTTCAGTACCTCCTCCTCCTCCTCCTCCTCCTCCTCCTCCTCCTCCTCCTCCTCCTATTACTTCCTTTGTACAAATACTAGAAGTAAATTTTCTAAGGCTTGTCTTTTATAGTATTCTTCATTTTTCAAGTTTAAGGTTGTTTATCACCTTGGCGAGGTTAGAACTATAGAGAAAATAGTAGTTATAATAATTAATAATAAATTATATTCTTAACATGCTTTCTTTTTATCCATGACACCTTCTCAGAGCAGTGTTCTTCCTAGCTCCATGGTTTCAGCAGCTTCTCTGACAAAGGAACACTTGTTTTCTGGTTCCTCAGAATGGCCCCGATGGTCGACTTCTGGTTTCCTACTGATCTTGGCTCAGTAACTGGCATCACTTGACACTTCAATAGCTGATTGAAATAAAACTTTGAGGTTCTGATTCAATACCATATCCATTCATATTTTGTATAAAATATGAATAAAATTTCCCCATTGTATTTTTCAGATGTATCTCCATATTTTTTGTGGAGTTTCAGACATACTTTGCTCAGGATTACTCCCAAACAGCATGGATCCATTCCATTGTAGACTGTATGACAATGCTCTGTGGTGAGTATTATTTACCAGGATGGACAATTAGTGGAAATTATGGAACTGAACATGGCAATGACTTTTGACAGGAGCAGGTGATACTGGTTCTTTATTAGTTTTTTAAGTGGAAGGACATAACAAGTTAGGAAATTGAAAACCTAGATGATCAATCTCATCTTCAGCTAAACCTAACAAGACTTGCTTTTGGAATTGATGGCCTTGACTAATGCCAGATGGAGAAGTTCACCCATATACTTGGAAGGACACAACTCATTGGGCTCATCTGTATGCTGCGTGTTTTAGAGCTTGTGGTGATCTGAGGAGAAATTTCTGGGCAGAAAGTAAAAGGCTATGTCTTCCAATTTGATGGCCTTCTCATTCTCCAGCCATGTAATCATACATTGGATAGGACAGTAAGACATTTCTCTGACCCAACTACTAACCAGGACCAACGTTGCTTAGCTTCCAAGACTCAGGAGCTCTCAGGGAGGCATGGCTATAGACAGTGCATGAGCCATTTTTACAGGGTCTTCTTCAGTGAATAACATCATAGCTCAAGTCATGGCTTTGTTTTTGCTTCTTTACCAGGGTTCCAAATTCAACTCACAGATGTCATCTTTTCTTGAATAAGAGAAATATCAGGGAAGAACAGGAATATGTAATCAAGAGCTAAGCAGGGTCACAGTGGTTATAACTTCATTTGCAAAATCCCAAATGTGCTTTCTAAAACATGGATGGTGTTCCAGAAATTCATGAGACCTAACATTGTATCTGTAGTAGAGGATGATAAAACTTTTCTTTTTATAAATTTTGAAACAAAGTTACCAACTTGGTTACCTAGTGAATTTCTATGATCCCGTTTAGTTGGAACAATCCATTTCTAGCCTGGACCCACTCAATCCTTTCACTAAGAAAAATCCTAGGATGCTTTAGAGACTTTTATCACTTGAGAAACTTTTATCTGGGGCTGGAGAGATAGCTCAGGGGTTAAGAGACCTGCTGCTTTTCCAGAGAACCTAGGTTCAATTACCAGCACCCACAGTACAGCTAACAACTATGTGTAACACCAGTTCCAGGGAATCTGATGCCCTCTTCTGATCTTTGTTGAAGCAGACTCAGATGTGGTATACATATATACCAGACACAGACAAAACAACCATACACATAATATAAAACAAATAAATCTAAAATGTTTACCTGTTTCAATGACAAAAGAGAAGTACTGTAGTAATCAGTTACTCGTGATAAATTCATCTGACTCTATTCTACATACTGATTTATATACTTGTCTTTAATAAGTTGAATTTTGTTATGTTTTCTTTATTTTTAATAATTTTAATCAAGCAAAATAGCATATTTACTTTTAAATGTCTCGATTTAGGAAGCAATGAGATTGTGTTGAAGTTTCTTTCTTTGACTCTAGGATAGATTGTGAATTTTTTAAAAATATACTTAAGTTTATTCTTTCAACTGAGAAGGATTCACAAAATCACACATTTAAGTTCTGCTTGTAGCCCGTCTTTCTTTCCCTTTCATGGAGAACTGGATTTTCAGGGTTGTGTTTAGTCACAGAGTTAGTATCAGTAGGCCTCAGAGAATATGCCTGACTCATTTCCCTTGCTGTTATCTTCTGGAGGTTATTTGAGGTTCTCCACAGAGCAGTAACAATGTGGTGACAATGCTGGTGTAGGCTCTGGGCAGACTCAAACGCTGTGGAATCCTAGTCCTCCATTACCATCCCTGTGGTCCTTGTTTACACGCATTCACCTTTGCACCAGGTTATAGACTATGAGAATTTAGAGCTTGAACAAGAGACTGTGCATTGCACTGGGACTCCCCCTGAAGAAAATCTGCCATGGAATGGACAGAGAAGCGAATGTTACTTGCTGCAGTTGCTGTGAATTTCTCACCAAGTTTAGTTTAAGTGATTCAAATGTTTTCACTTTCTGGTAACCACAGTAGCAGCACCCTTGAGAATTCAACAGTCTCTAGAGACTTACACATTCCAATTCTCCCAGAGTTAAATATTCTAAGAGCTTTAACAGAGATGCTGGCTGAGTAACAGTCTATCATGTGGGAGTCTCCAATTTTAACTGGGTCATTACAAAACTGATCATGTTAAACAGCTATTCAGAGACACAGCTCTTTTGATTCCCCTCCCCACCGTCCCCGGAGTACTGGTAATAGCATGGTTTTTCTTCTTTAAGATAAAAATTCATTCATTAAGTAACTGTCATCATGACTGTTATGTTGTAAAAGCAATATTGTATTTAACAGCCTTGAGCAAGTGACATATAGTTTACATAAATAACTGATGCTTGTGTGGAAAAACACCCTGGGTCTGGAGATGGCTTGGCAGTTGAAAGCATTTATGAGCAGTTAAGAGCACTTGGGTTCAGTTCCTAGCACCCCCATGGCAGCTCACAACCCTCTGTAAATCCAGTACTAGGGGATCCAACAAATTCCCTTATTTCCCACTGGCATCAGGCACGCATATGATGTACAGGCAGGGATGGAGGCAAATACTCACGCACATAAAAATAAAACAAAAACCCCACCTGCTAGCACTGGATATACAACTGTAAGAGAATGAGATGAGAATGCAGGGTCTAAGTCAGGACACTGAAGCTCTGTCGCTGCCCTGCTCCTTATTCGTGTATCCACCAAGGGTCACTTTTCCTTGAGTCTCGGTGTCCAAAGCCATACAGCTAGAGGGCTGGGCTTGGCCTTTAGAAGGTTGCCGGCTCTCTTCTCCAACAGTGCAACACCACAGTGTTTTCAAGATATTCCCAAAGCCTTTCTTTCTATTGATCTGCTTGTTGTTTTTGAAGCTCCGCTTGGGAGTGTTGTCAGTAACCAGTTATCCTGTCAAGCGGGGATTATGCTGGGTGGCTTGCTGGCATCTACTGGCTTCATCCTGGGTTCATTTGCCACCAGCTTGAAGCACCTCTACCTCAGTCTGGGAGTTCTTACAGGTAAGTGCACTTTCTCCCACCAGTCTGGCCCCAGCTTTGTTCAAGTATTGTCAAGCACATAAACACAATAGAGATTTACAAAATACTTTTTTTAAATGCATAATGCAGCTGACTTAGCTTATGGCTACCTACTTAGCAGTTACAGACACATGGAAACATAATTCCATTACCCTAGTGAGCCTTCCCACATAAATTTTGTCGTGTGGTGAGACATAACTTTAATCTCTGGCATTACATATGCCTGAGACTCTGTACTCAGAAGAAATGATAAATTTGTATTACACAATACAAATTTTCAACAGTGGTTGGTCATTCTCTGTCTTCCTTTGCTAAGCAAGACACTAAACACTGTGTTTGGCTTGAATTTTCAGGCCTTTATTATGAGTATTATTATCCAATAAATGGGAATTTCGATTTAGAAAAGATAGCACCTTGCCTCGGGTATTCTTATATTTCACATTATTTCTCACTGTTATAGAAACCCCACTTTAGAAAATAATGATGGATTTTATGGAAAGAGAAGAACATATCTATCCCACAAACTTAAGGGGTCTGCATAGGGTTGGGATGAGGTTGGGTGGTAAGACTCAAGGGGCATTATGTTCATCATGGTTACAGGGATGGAAGGTGGTACCCATTCCTGTGTGGGAATGTGCTATGAGTGTAGGATGAATTAGGCCAGTGATGTGTGTACCTTAGAGTGAGGCTGTCCATCTGCATCTGACGGCTAAGGAAGTTATAGACATCCCTAGTAACTCACAGGGCCTGGCTGCTACGTTTACTAGGAACTGGTCTGTTTTAGCACTGAAAGTCCCAACATCTGGAAACACATAGATCTGTTGACCATCTGTACTACAGATGGGAATGGTGTTGAGATTGGTTCTTCTTTCTCTCTTCTGGCATTATCAGTTATCAAATGAGGTGCCACATATTTTATATCTATCTTTGGATGTATTGATGTAAATAGCCTACATGTTCTGAAATGTAGGCTTGAAGCCCTTTAGGCTTTCTAAGTTAAACTGAGGTAGTAGAAGCCAAAAAGCTTTTAAAAGCTTTCCGGACAATTGGTATTTTTCTGAAGGAATTGAGGAATATTTCCAGATTCCATGTTCTGTAATATTCCCTAGTCTATATGACATGTCCC